GAAGGGGTGGTTTGGAAGAGAGAAATACATTTTCTTCCAGTTTTGTATTGAAAAAAAAGTTCAAATATATCACATTTCAAGGATCTACATGTCAGTTATATAAAACAAATATTGAGTGGCTTTAAATTGTGAAATGGGAGGAATATTATCGCTCGGTTAAATCTGGACTTTTCCAGTTCACTCGGCGAAGAAAAGTCCAGATTTTACCTTGCGATAATATTCCTCCCATTCCACGCTGAGCCACTCAATATTTGTATACCATTCACTCATTGTAAAACAAATATTCAAATTTTATGCCTGACTGCTGATGACGCTATTTCGTGACAAACAAAACGAAGGCTGTCGATTGGTCAATAGCCGCCAGCTGACCCTAATACATTGCATGGGGAGAGCATGGCGCCCAGACGATTTTGACATTGATATTTGCTTTTAGAAAACTGTTAGCTCATCCTTTCACATTACAAATCCTGACAGAGGCAAATAACATCGCTTCTTTGTCTGTTTGAAAGACCAGCACGAGTCTACGTGCATCATTACAACGTTCCCGCAGCGAGGTACACGTCATATTGAAGGACATCACACACAAACCTCTACCTTGTAGGCTTGTACGATTACCATGTGTAATGTTCTGTGTTTATTGATGCACAAATACACCTTTTTTTCGAGTGCAACGGCAAGAATTACTTCATGAAGTGACAGTGGAATGTTCCATTTCACGAGGCGAATTGAATAGTCCATCTGTCACCGAATATGCTACACCTTGTTATCTGATTGGTCTGAGTCACCAGGGACTTTTTGCAGGGGTGGGCTGGGGTGTCAGGCCCAGCAGATTTTTTTAATGTGCGATTGTTGCGGACAGGCAGACATATAGGTAATTACATTGTTACTATAACGGGGATTTACTCGGGCGTTGTATAATTTTGTTTTGTTTAATTTGTACAATGTACGGTACAGGTAATTTACGTGGCCCGAAATCCGAAGGACGTGCTCGTTTCTTTATACAACCTGATGGGGGCAGAACAATTGGATTTTGATGAGATGTTCTTCGGATTCGTCCAAGGGAAAGGTATAAGTTTAAATGCAAAGCAAAGTTAACTGTGGCCGATATTAGATAACACAAATCGCTATTATCCCCAGCTCATTTTCTCTTTTCTTCCCTCCTTTTCTTTTTTTCACGGCAGAAACCGGGACCTATAGTTTTGTTTAAGCGGATTCTATTTTTCTCAAATATTGACTGAACAATAATATTTAAGTGGACTGCAAAAAAAGGTCTCCAAATAATGTATTGACTTTCTGTCCATTGTTTGTTGGTTTGTTAGGTTTGTTTGTTTATTTGTTTGTTTGTTTGTTTGTTCCTCCATGTATCTCCAGTGGTATTGGGATGTTGGTTTGATCACGTGCTCAGCTATTGGAACCATCGGGACAAGGAGAATTTTCTGTTTATAAAGTACGAAGATCTCCACAAGGTTCGTATAAGAGAGACTTCATTGATGAAACACGGACTGTACGTCTTGCACTGATGTACAGAAGGCCGTATACTTGGTGTATGTCACCATCGTCCTCGGCTGGTTGTCATTATCAATGACGCTGTCACTGTTTCAATGCTCTCGGACCACTTAAATCTCAGAATCATTGATCGTGTCCTGCTGCTCTGCGTCATAGCAAAAGAATTGTTCAATGTACAGTCGTCTCCCGTTATAGCGAAAACGGTTAGGACGAAATTCCAAATTTACAAACACATATCTTCGGTCCCGGCAAAATTGTGCACATGTCTATGGTAAAAAATCGCTTAAGACGAAAACGGACAGTACGAAATTCCTGTTAAGACAAAGGTTTTGGCGACCCCATTGAGTCAAAAAGCATTGTTAGCAACCCATTTATTACGAAAAAAACCCACCTTAAACCACAAAACCTTATACAACTTTGATGAAGGAGTGGGGGCGTTAATCAGCTGTAACAAGTGTTGAAATGCTGTCACTTTCAATGTCACCACTATGATTATTACGCATACAAATGCAATAATCACTATGTTATTATTGCCCATTGTGCACAAGATAATGAGTTCGTACCACGAATATTAAACTCACCCTTACACTGCAGTGGAGATTATTGGAATTTATCTGAAAAACGTATGGCAAATATATTCAGAACTATAGATGTGTAGCTGAGGCAAACGCTTCAAAAATGTCACTTTGATTCGTTGTTTTATTCAGGACCTCAGGGGCTCCATTTGCAAACTAGCAAAGCATGTCGGGAAGGATCTACCCGATGACGTCATCGATGACATCGTGGAACGCGTGACCTTTGGTGGGATGCAGAAGACTTATCAACAGATTGAGGAGGAACACGGGGAGGAGGGAAAACTGATGACGCGTTTTCTAGGAGTAACTCCGTGGCTTAGAAAAGGTGTGGTGTGGTTGTGATATTCCATTGATTTTCAGATTTTTAAAAACTTTTTTTTATGGTTCCCCATTCCTATTATGTGTTTCCCCATCTTTCATATACTATTCAATTTAGAACAAATTATATATCTTTCGTGTTGCTTTGTTTCTTGCAACCCTTTCCTTTTACCCAAGTGACACAAAAAAATGACAGTGGACATTCCCAACCCAGCAGTAAGGTATTATAAGATTCTGCCAGGATTTGAACTTCGGCTCTTTGACATCTCTTAATGATTCTGAAAGAAAAGGAAATGTTGACAGATGACAAGAAAACCATCTTTTAATATTTCCCTACGCAATGAAATATTGTACGGAGCATTTCATCAGGCGTGTGTTCTGATTGATTGAACAATATTTTTCACCTTTTATTTTATTCGAATAACAGGAAAAGTCGGCAACTGGAAGAACACTTTCACGGTGGCACAGAGCGCCCTCTTCGACAAGATCTACGCCCTGAGGATGAAAGGAACCGGCTTGGATTTTGACTTTGAGCTTTGAGAGCCCCGATGTGAGTCGGGCTGACTACAAATTTTTATCCTTGTGGAGACACACACACAATAGGGAACAAAACATTGTAAAGGTCTCCACAGGGCAATTTCTATAGATGAATAGGTCTCCACAAGGTTTTCACGAAATAGATATATGGGTTTTACTCAAAAAATAGGAATTTCCAAGGTGGGTTGATCCGTCGCAAATGGAAGAGTTTTAGAAAAGGGATATTAAGTCCAAATTTCAGCCAAGGAAACTAATTCTGGTTAAAATAACAGCATTTTGAAACTTCACTTTCAAAATTGAACACTTTACTACACGAGAACAAAGGAATATCTCCACAAGGATACAAATCTGAGAGTGGGTGCACTAGCTTGTGTAGTACTACTGGATGTACATGTACTACCTCTGAGTATTCCATTCTGTAGAGCTTCACCAGATAAATAGCCTACGATTAGAATTTCAGGTGCGAAACAGCGCAGCATTACACAATTTCAAAGCACTGCTTACAAATAAATTCCCAGTCCTTCGAGCATTGTCCTTCTTCGCTGGTTGTTCCTGCAAGAACAACCCCTGAACTATAAGGCCGGGACCCGTTCCGAGAGTTATGAGCTTAATTTTGGCAAGCACTACTTTTAAATTGTCTGTGCTGTTCGGTTTGTACTAGTACACGCGTGGCTAACTGAGTTTGTATTGCACGCACTTTATTTCCAGAACGCGCGCAAAAACATCCCAAATATTTGTATATTTCGCGCACCGATCACTCACAGCTGAGGTCTGATAATTGCCTCATTTTTGAAGAAATAAATTCAAGACAGGATCCATTAATTTAATTTACCGTTTATATGTAGGGTTTTCAATTAACATGCAACATCGATTAAAACAAAAACAAAAAAATCCAGCACGAGCCAGTTTTCAACAGTTAACCTTGGTTGCTTAACGGGGATGCTGTAGAATTACAAACAGTTTCGACAATACTTGTTCCCCAACAATTAATCACTGTATTTAAGCAATAACAACAAACCCTCTGTTCCTTTCGATGATTTTCACAGAGATTTTTGCTGTAATTGGTTGTAAAACAAGATAATATTAAACAGTGCACAGATGTAAAATCAATTCCTAGTCCAAATATACTGAATTTATTCAAAGAAAGCACCTCAGGATACTGACAAGATGCATTTTATAATGATTTTAAGGTTGAACGGCGAAATTTACTGGAGCGGGATTCGAACCTGGGACCTCTGGATGGCCGTATTATAAATATAATTATACATGTAACACATTCTCAGTTGTAAAATCGCTAAAATTTGCTGATAACTATCAGTAAATACAAATTGAAAATAGAAAATATAATCGGACATATTGTCTAGAGTGGCGTAACTAAAGGGGCAAGGGGCCACGCCCCGGCTCCTACTCCCTTTGAGATCTGGGTGTTTCTCCATGATGCCTGCACCACAGTTGCATGAACTGGAACTAAGGGTTTTTTTACCCCCCCCCCCCAATATTTTGTAAAGACTGCCTTTTTCCATTCAAATGCCCTTACCTGCCCTTAGAAATTTCTAGTCACTGCTTTAGGTCTTTGGTCCTATTTATTACTTGTCCTCCGCTAACCCCCTTTACAAATCCAGGATCCGCCATGCAGGGTGGGGTTTTATACACCATACAAACTTGATCTGTCAGAAAATATGACGTGAGAATTTACCTATAAGTACGCCTAAAGTAGGCCGAAGTAGGCCTATAGGTTCAATCATTCGGACTCATGCATTTTTTCTCAAAAAACAGTGGGTTTATTTAACAAAAACTATTGCGTTATTTCTTAATAGTATTGCGTCATTTCGCAATAGTAATATGCGTTATTTCGCAATTCTATTGCGTTATTTCGCAATGATATTGCGTTATTTCGCAATGCTATTGCGTTATTTCGCAATGCTATTGCATTATTTCGCAATAAAAATGTTTTTTTTTACTTTTAAAACCTGGAACGAACGGGCTTCCGTAGGGAGCCAAATTATTGAAGAGCGCCCTGTCTTGACGTGACAGCCTGTGAATAGTAAGGTCAAAGTTCACGCACTGTAATTTGTCATTTGTTCTCTCACACACACCATTCACACACGTACGTACGTGATCATGTCTGATGCTTTTCATGCGGCTGATGTTTCCGCTGTTCTACTTGCCTTGTAAATTAAGTTATTTGTTGCGTATATAAATAAAACCGTCCTGAAAGCCAATATTGTGGGGGTACTTGTAGCTACTATACGTGCATCGGAAGCCTTAAAAGTTGTGCCAGCTAGTATTAACTGGACAGTTGCAGAGAGCGAGCCGTGGTGAGTACTCAGAGTGGACGTACTTTTTGCTATGACTGCATGCTTACCCTAAGATTGTGTGAGAGGGGCTATACTTTTGTACATTGAGCAACCTCGCCAGAGCAGAGGGGTCCTGATTGTCAGTGGTTTGATTGTGTGAGCGGGCGTTTTGGTTGACACATGTGTACATGTAAGAGCTTCGCTGGTTATTAAAGTGCTGCCGCCTCATTGGGAAGTTGTCCGTACTTGGCCTCCAGTTAACCTGCCGCCAAACACATCCATTTTTACCTCACCTTGTGATTTCACCCAAGATGAATCCAGAAACCTCCGGCAATGCCTATATATTTTTTTATGAAATGTCTTTTCTTTAGAGCACATTTTTGGATGCACACCTGCAGAACTAACGTTGGAGACAGCCGGCCATAGCGATTGAAGTTGGAATTTTAGCGATGACATCGATAACACATGATGACATCGATAACCATGAGCCGACCGCGATTTTTTTCTCTCCCAAACGACATCCGCGTATGGGTGTACGCTATATGGCGTTTTGGACTTTACTTTTCCAAAAACATGAAGAAAAAAAAATGAATTCGAACGTAACGAAATTCGGACTTTATTTTCCTTTTAAAAAGTCATAATGAATATATCATTTCTCATCAATATTGAGTTCATTTAATATTCATTATTCAATGGATACTTTAAATGCGTCCAAAGATTGATTATTGCAACAGCGATCGTGCACGGCCTTGTGGTAAAAGTGTTGTGTTTCAAACAAGAGTCCGAGGTTCGAAGTGACTAATTCAGAAATAGGAATGAGAGGGTGAGAGAAGAGGAGGGAAAGTGGAGGAAATCACCATAAAGGATGCAATTTTTTGGTGCTTGGAAATTAATTGAAAAAATTGGAGGCCTATATGTGCATGGAAAACTTTTTTCCACATTTTACATTTGGTGGTGGTGAGTTTGTCTTACATTCCCTATGTGGACTTGTGAACAAGAGATGTCCACATAATGCAGGTTGTGTTAACGTTATGTGGACTAAGCCGTGTCCACATAAGGTTTTGCCCTTTCTGGAAAACAGGTTTAGAGGCATTTTTGGGTTAGGTTTATCCGTAGCAGAATGAAGAGAAAACACTATAGGGAATCATAGAAAAAAAAATGGGTTAAAAGAGTTTTCACAGTTTTCAGAGTTTTCTTAACTACACGAAAACAAAGGAATGTCCACACAAGATATGTAACGTAAACGGGTGTGTGTGTGTGCGTGTGTGACATCTGATCAGGTAGTTTGTTATCGTTGATCCCTTGGCCTCTCATCTTGGGTATAGTCAAAGGCGGATCCAGTACATTTTTGGGGGGAGGGGCCAATCAGGTGTTAATCAATTATCATTCGCTCTTATTCTCAAGACTCTAATTTTTTTAATTTTTTTTTTATAAACCTTTGTTGTAGATGGTTAAAGTTTTTATTATATTGATGTCTAGTGCATTGTGGTTGGCTATTAGGCTATTATTTTCATGCTGGAAAGTTTGGAGTGTGACAGTTAACTCGCATGCGACACACACGTTAATTGTGAGGTTCATTTTTTAAAGCAATTTTTATGCTCTCCGTTTTAAAAATAACGTTTGTTTCATCCTGTGCAATGTGAATATACATACATTGTACTTAAAATTTGATTTTATCACTGTTAATGTTCAAGTCATGTTTTGTTGTATTATAACCCCTACTTTGACCCATGGGAGATAAGTTCTGGTAAAAGGACTGAATGGGCCACCCGGTATAAAGAAGAAATAAATAAACAAATAAATAAATAATGTGCTTCGATACAGTTGTAGGAAACTGATACAACTCGGTAGAAAACCACAATCTACACCGTTATCTATTTTTCAATGCAGTACAAAGCTCAGTTGTCGCAAGGATCACCGAAGTTCAAAGTTCTGGGTCACACAAATTACAGATTTATGTCGTACATTTACTGAGAGTTGCAAGATGCTGGTACAAGCACTACAACCTTACTCGGTCGAAAACCACAACTTTCCTCTTCAGATATTGTTCACAGTAAATTATAAAGGAGAGCTGTCGTCCGAATCACCGCGAGCTTCAAAGTTTTTTGGTCACAAAAAAAATCAACTTAATGTCACATTTACTGAGAAACATTGCACAATATTTTGAACTATCTTGAAAATCAAAGCGAGGCTTACAACGCAAAACATGGTGGCATGAATAGTGTGTGCGGTGAATGAGGTTACAGCTGATTGACACTCTTATCAATGAATCGATAGCTCCAGTGTTGGAGCAAAGGCTTTGACCCTCAAGGCCAAGGCCAAGGCCAAGGCCAAGGCTTTGACCCTCAAGCCTTAAGGCTAAGGCCAAGGCTTAACCCTCAAGGCCAAGGCCAAGGCCCTGTTTTATAAAATGACCACTAATATAGAACTAATTATATTACATGACACATCATCACGAATCGCTCATTAAGAAGAACAACTTGTCTTTAATTGTGATCAAAATGCTCACATACAATGTTTTATGACTGCATTGTATCTATATTAAAGTATAAGTTCAGGTCTTCATGAATATGGTTTAACTAAAACAAAATAATGATTTACTTCTAAACTGACGCACAATTCTCCCGAGTGTAACAAAAGGGGGATCCAAGAAACTGATTTGGGGAATTTAAATTTGCTGGGCCAACATGGTCAGAAATATAGCATTACCTAAAACAGATACATGCAAATCTTTAGCGCTTATCAGGGAGATATATACAACCAATCAGATTGATCATCAGTTAGAAAAAAGTAGCGTAGTATTAGTTATTGAGGGCAGTATAATCAGAGCATGATCAGCAGTCACAGATCTATTCCATAATTGTATTCAATTAAATCGATTATCTCATTAGCTCTTCAAGTGTACAGAAAATTATTGCAGCAAATTAATGTACTACAACGGTAACAAAATGTGATGCTATAAAAGTGAAAGTGTGCCCAACACACAAATCTGTAGGGTGTTTCCCTCCTCCATGGTAACACGATTAAAATGGTAACAGCAAAATTTCAAACATATTTATATGGGAAATGCAAAAATATATGGGCCTTGAAGAGCCTTGACTCAAAATTGCAAGGCACTGATCCCTCAAGGCCAAGGCCAAGGCTTTTGCCCTCAAGCCTCGAGGCCAAGGCCAAGGCCCTAAAGTCCAGTCTTAAGGTAGCCATAAGGCCAAGGCCCAGCATCAATTAGGCACTACATCACTGGATAGCTCAAATTCCCCGAAAACAGCAATCCGATCAACATTCTAGGTTGGTCACATCTTATTAAGCCCATGACCAAAAATAAGAGGAAAATTCGAGTTCGGTGTATGCGCGGGAACGTGAAACATTTCTTTTTTTCACTTACCAGCTTTACCGCACTGTACCCAGACTCGTTTGCTTGCAAAATGGTACCAGCCCTTCGAGATACCCGTCTATTTGTTGAGCAGACGGGTATCGTTGTCATTACCCCGCCATGTTTGTTGGCGTTATATGCCTTGCCCTGATTTTCAAGATGGCGTACCCTGATAAAGGTATATTGATTGTGGTGATGGGTACAATATATGGTTCTGCACTTCATAAGGGCACACAAGACGACATTAAATTGTTATGTCTAGGGCCTAATCTGTACTGTCTTTTGTGCAATTAGCAGGAGACTTGTTCAACAGGCAGACTCGGGACACAGCCAAACCGTTTTGCACAGTGTTCTTAGCCTAACCGCCACCATGAGCTTTGCCGAACAAATCCAGGCGATGATGCCGGACTTGGTCAACGGGAAGACGCACCAACAAGTGGAGGAGAAGTTGGCGGCTTTTGACAGGATGCAAGGCAGCCATGTCGTGAATGGGTTCAAATTCCCGGCTGCCGTACAACCATCCAATCTGGAAGCCCTGAAGACTTTCGAAGTGCGCGATGACGACGTTTACGTCTTCACCTACCCAAGATCAGGTGAGGATTGATGAGCCTACACTATCCGCTCCGTTCACAAGTACCCCCTCACCGGCAAAGAGAGTACAGTTGGGGTGACCGACCGACGCCATCTTGCCTGACTGCAATTCATTTGCCGCAAAGCGCGGCCACTATGTACAATAGTACAAATCCCCTGGTGTACGTGCGTCACACACAAGGAACGGTGCGCGTCAACCAGCGAAATGTCCCGCCCATGGGACGTCGTTGCAAGGTAAAAGGGTGCCCTCTTTCGTCAGCGCACGGAGCCCATAATGGCCACTTGTCCCCTCCGACACACTCGACAAATACCATTAATGCAGATATAATGCAGTCTTTTTGAAACAATAACATCCTCATGTCTTGTGTGAAATTAGGTCGGGAGGTGGGGCGGCGAAATTGGGCCAGAAGCTATAGGGTTTTTTTTGGCAGCGGAAGAAATGGTTAATGGTTGCAGTGCAACCCAATCAAGTAGTATAATAATAACATGAATGCGTAATATATAGCGCATTATGCAAAGGCCTCAAAGCGCTTGACAAAGACTTTAAAATTGGGTATAAAGAACAGTTCTACAATTGTAATAACAGTGAAACAAGTACATGTAACTTGTAACTATGACTACTAAAACTACTGCGATAGAAACTACACAATTTTAAAATGTCAATGGCTCAGTGGAAGCTCATTTCAGTTTTCTTCGCCTACCAGAAATATATTGGCTGTTATACAACGCCTGTATAAATCCCTGTAATGTGATTGGTGGATTGTTGATCCCGCGTATTTGATTTTTTTTCTTTTTCTTTTTGACATACCGACTTATAGTAATTCAAACTGGAGTCAAATTTTAATTGGATGAGATCTGTCCACAAACAGGCACTCACTGGGTGGGCGAAATAATGCAGTATATCCTCCACGATGGGAGGGGCGATTATGACCGCACTTTCATGAACATCGGGCTGGAATTCACGATTAAAGATGACCTGATTCAATTTGATGGTGTGACCCCCGGGTACAAGAAGTACGCAGCCATGGCATCGCCACGGTGCATCGTAAGCAACTGCTTGGAGAGCTTTCTTCCTCCCCAAATCTTTACTAAGCATGGAAAGGTAATGTATTTTTTCCCCCACTTGTCAGTTAATCATTAAAATGAAGAAAAAGGGATTGAAAAAAGGTAAAAAAAGAAAAATGAAACTATCAGCTCCTCGCCCCGTGCATGAGCACTATTATATAACTGACATACAGATCCTAGTCATTTGATTAGTGGAACTCACATCACATGTCATTCGATATTGCTCCCTTTCACGCCGCGGCTCAAAAAGTACTATCCGCCCATGGGGAATGGGAAATATTTTAACACCTCACCCACAGATTCTGTGTCTTGATTGGCCGAGAGCGAGTCACATGTTACTTTCTAATTTTGCTATCTTTCTGTGCACGGCCAAAAGTACTATGCGCATAGCAACCAAAGTACTATGCCATTAGCAACCAAAGCACTATTTCCACGGCGCGGTATTTGTGTGCAAATGCATGCTGGTGTGCGCGTTGCGCGTTGTGCGTAGCGCGTATTATTCCAAAGAGAGCGCGCCGCAGACTTGGGTTCAAACATTTCGTGAAGGGTTAGTTTTTAAAGAGAGAAATACATTTTCCACCAATTTTGTATTAAAAATTGAAGTTTATTTCAACTGTGTTCAGATTTAAATAATGTAAAATATTAAAATCAAGCAGAATCTGTGGGTGAAGTGTTATAAAACAAATATTGAATGCTTTATCTCGTGGTGAAGTAAAACTAGCCTCCCTCGATGATCCATGGACCGTTCTATTTTCGCCTCGGGAAAATAGAATGTCCATGGATCACCTCGGGAGCCTAGTTTTACTACACCACTCGAAGCATTCAATATTTGTATACTATTCAACAGTTGGGATCATGACGCGGTATTCGTGTGCAAATGCATGCTGGTGTGCGCGTTCAGCGTTGCGCATAGCGCGTATTGGTCCAAAGGGCCAGCGCTACAGTGTTGGGTTCAACCATTTTCGTGAAGGGGTGGTTTGGAAGAGAGAAATACATTTTCCTCCAGTTTTGTATTGAAAAAAAAGTTCAAATATATCACATTTCAAGGATCTACATGTCAGTTATATAAAACAAATATTGAGTGGCTTTAAATTGTGAAATGGGAGGAATATTATCGCTCGGTTAAATCTGGACTTTTCCAGTTCACTCGGCGAAGAAAATATTCCTCCCATTCCACGCTGAGCCACTCAATATTTGTATACCATTCACTCATTGTAAAACAAATATTCAAATTTTATGCCTGACTGCTGATGACGCTATTTCGTGACAAACAAAACGAAGGCTGTCGATTGGTCAATAGCCGCCAGCTGACCCCAATACATTGCATGGGGAGAGCATGGCGCCCTGACGATTTTGACATTGATATTTGCTTTTAGAAAACTGTTAGCTCATCCTTTCACATTACAAATCCTGACAGAGGCAAATAACATCGCTTCTTTGTCTGTTTGAAAGACCAGCACGAGTCTACGTGCATCATTGCAACGTTCCCGCAGCGAGGTGCACGTCATATTGAAGGACATCACACACAAACCTCTATATACCTTGTAGGCTTGTACGATTACCATATGTAATGTTCTGTGTTTATTGATGCACAAATACACCTTTTTTTCAAGTGCAACGGCAAGAATTACTTCATGAAGTGACAGTGGAATGTTCCATTTCACGAGGCGAATTGAATAGTCCATCTGTCACCGAATATGCTACACCTTGTTATCTGATTGGTCTGAGTCACCAGGGACTTTTTGCAGGGGTGGGCTGGGGTGTCAGGCCCAGCAGATTTTTTTAATGTGCGATTGTTGCGGACAGGCAGACATATAGGTAATTACATTATTACTATAACCATGGAGGAATAAGAATGGGGGGGGGGGCGGGTTGCGGTGCGGCAGGCCTTGGGTTGAACGAATAATTCAATGACAATCGTCATTCAAAGGACGGGGATTTACTCGGGCGTTGTATAATTTTGTTTTGTTTAATTTGTACAATGTAGGTACAGGTAATTTACGTGGCCCGAAATCCGAAGGACGTGCTCGTTTCTTTATACAACCTGATGGGGGCAGAACAATTGGATTTTGATGAGATGTTCTTCGGATTCGTCCAAGGGAAAGGTATAAGTTTAAATGCAAAGCAAAGTTAACTGTGGCCGATATTAGATAACACAAATCGCTATTATCCCCAGCTCATTTTCTCTTTTCTTCCCTCCTTTTCTTTTTTTCATGGTAGAAACCGGGACCTATGGTTTTGTTTAAGCGGATTCTATTTTTCTCAAATATTGACTGAACAATAATATTTAAGTGGACTGCAAAAAAAGGTCTCCAAATAATGTATTGACTTTCTGTCCATTGTTTGTTGGTTTGTTAGGTTTGTTTGTTTATTTGTTTGTTTGTTTGTTTGTTCCTCCATGTATCTCCAGTGGTATTGGGATGTTGGTTTGATCACGTGCTCAGCTATTGGAACCATCGGGACAAGGAGAATTTTCTGTTTATAAAGTACGAAGATCTCCACAAGGTTCGTATAAGAGAGACTTCATTGATGAAACACGGACTGTACGTCTTGCACTGATGTTCAGAAGGCCGTATACTTGGTGCATGTCACCATCGTCCTCGGCTGGTTGTCATTATCAATGACGCTGTCACTGTTTCAATGCTCTCGGACCACTCAAACCTCAGAATCATTGATCGTGTCCTGCTGCTCTGCGTCATTGCAAAAGAATTGTTGAATGTACAGTCGTCTCCCGTTATAGCGAAAACGGTTAGGACGAAATTCCGGTTATTACAAACACATATCTTCGGTCCCGGCAAAATTGTGCACATGTCTATGGTAAAAAATCGCTTAAGACGAAAGCGGACAGTACGAAATTCCTGTTAAGACAAAGGTTTTGGCGACCCCATTGAGTCAAAAAGCATTGTTAGCAACCCATTTATTACGAAAAAACCCCCACCTTAAACCACAAAACCTTATACAACTTTGATGGAGGAGTGGGGGCGTTAATCAGCTGTAACAAGTGTTGAAAAGCTGTCACTTTCAATGTCACCACTATGATTATTACGCATACAAATGCAATAATCACTATGTTATTATTGCCCATTGTGCACAAGATAATGAGTTCGTACCACGAATATTAAACTCACCCTTACACTGCAGTGGAGATTATTGGAATTTATCTGGAAAACGTATGGCAAATATATTCAGAAGTATAGATGTGTAGCTGAGGCAAACGCTTCAAAAATGTCACTTTGATTCGTTGTTTTATTCAGGACCTCAGGGGCTCCATTTGCAAACTAGCAAAGCATGTCGGGAAGGATCTACCCGATGACGTCATCGATGACATCGTGGAACGCGTGACCTTTGGTGGGATGCAGAAGACTTATCAACAGATTGAGGAGGAACACGGGGAGGAGGGAAAACTGATGACGCGTTTCTTAGGAGTAACTCCGTGGCTTAGAAAAGGTGTGGTGTGGTTGTGATATTCCATTGATTTTCAGATTTTTAAAAACTTTTTTTAATGGTTCCCCATTCCTATTATGTGTTTCCCCATCTTTCATATACTACTCAATTTAGAACAAAGCTTTCGTGTTGCTTTGTTTCTTGCAACCCTTTCCTTTTACCCAAGTGACACAAAAAAATGACAGTGGACATTCCCAACCCAGCAGTAAGGTATTATAAGATTCTGCCAGGATTAGAACTTCGGCTTTTGACATCTCTTAATGATTCTGAAAGAATAGGAAATATTGACAGATAACGAGAAAACCATCTTTTAATATTTTCCTACGCAATGAAATATTGTACGGAGCATTTCATCAGGCGTGTGTTCTGATTGATTGAACAATGTTTTTCACCTTTTATTTTATTCGCCACAACAGGAAAAGTCGGCAACTGGAAGAACACTTTCACGGTGGCACAGAGCGCCCTCTTCGACAAGATCTACGCCCTGAGGATGGAAGGGACCGGCTTGGATTTTGACTTTGAGCTTTGAGAGCCCCGATATGAGTCGGGCTGCACTAGCTTGTATAGTACTACTGGATGTACATGTACTTCCTCTGTGTATTTCATTCTGTAGAGCTTCACCAGATAAATAGCCTACGATTAGAATTTCAGGTGCGAAACAGCGCAGCATTACACAATTTCAAAGCACTGCATACAATTAAATTCTCAGTCCTTCGAGCATTGTCCTTCTTCGCTGGTTGTTTCTGCAAGAACAACCCCTAATCTATAAGGCCGGGGCATGTTCCGAGAGTTCGGTGCTTAATTTTGGCAAGCACTGCTTTGAAATTGTCTGTGCTGTTCGGTTTGTACTAGTACACGCGTGGCTAACTGAGTTTGTATTGCACGCACTTTATATCCAGAACGCGCGGAAACACATCCCAAATATTGTATATTTCGCACACCGATCACTCGCTGCTGAGGTCTGATAATTGCCTCATTTTTGAAGAAATAAATTCAAGACAGGATCCATTAATTTAATTATCCGTTTATATGTAGGGTTTTCAAATATCATGCAACATCGATTTAAACAAAAACAAAAAATCCAGCACGAGCCAGTTTTCACAACAGTTATAACCTTTGTTGATTAACGGGGATGCTGTAGAATTACAAACAGTTTCGACAATACTTGTTCCCCAACAATTAATCACTGTATTTAAGCAATAAAAACAAACCCTCTGTTCCTTTCGATGATTTTCACAGAGATTTTTGCTGTAGTTGGTTGTAAAACAACATAATGTTTAACAGTGCACAGATGTAAAATCAATTCCTAGTCCAAATATACTTAATTTATTCAAAGAAATCACATCAGAATACTGACAAGATGCATTTTATAATGATTTTAAGGTTGAACGGCGAAATTTACTGCAGCGGGGTTCGAACCTGGGACCTCTGGATGGCCGTATTATAAATATAATTATACGTGTAATACATTCTCAGTTGTAAAATCGCTAAAATTTGCTGATAACTATCAGTAAATAAATATTGAAAATAGAAAATATAATCGGACATATCGTCGCCGTTTTTACGAACCGGCGAAACAAGCATTTCACGTAAAAACTAGATTTCCAGAAAACCGCTTTCAAAGTTATACGAGTTTTCATATGACAAATTTTATAGTTTAACATTCACTATTTCGGGTAAAATTTTGCAGGTCACCTCCACAGAAGGTGTTTTTAATAACACACCTACGGGTTAGATTCATAATCGGAATTTTAGTGGAGAAAATGAACTGTAAACAAGTTTTTCGGTTCGTAAATCCATTTTTTATGCGCTTTTGTATGATGTACGTTGTGAGAGCTTTTTTACGAACTGGCGCACGTACTATTTTATCACTTCGTAAAAACAACTTGACAGCTTAGGACATGCATGGTGCAATGATGTTTACGAACTGACGCTATACGTGGAAGTTCGCCCCAGATTGTTTTTATGTGCTGAATTATTGTTTGCAAACCAAATTATCCATCGGCGAAAGTAAAATAAAAATGTTGTTCCCACATGTATTATTATTGACAAAACATGATTGATTGATTGATTGATTGATTGGATGCCCTAGACGGTTGCGAGGTTGATGTCTACGTCACGGGGTGTTCAAATTAGTTTATTAATCAATCCGGGTTGCCAGATACTAGAGCAGACATTAATACAGACATCACTACATATCCACTGGGTGATTTTCAACTACAATATACAATGTACATGTTATTTTATTCATATTTAATTAGGTCTTAATTTTAATCCATTGCCATCATCAATCTCCATTTACTTACTAACTTTTAGCATGGGGGTATGTTCATTTTTGTTTAATTTGGCCCCTTATTAAATTCTAGTGAGAATGACGCAAGCGTGTGCGCATGGACTTCACGAATCGACTATACAGTATATATGTATTACGGACATGTTGAGAAAAATATCTCTCTCATCATCCCTTTAGCTAACTCTACGTACGACTTATAAAATCCATAAATACGACTTATACCTCAGTACCTACGACTTATGAAATGTAACTTGTACGGGACGTATGATTTTTATGTCGTACGCACGCCTAAAATATCGTACACTCGACTTGCATGTCGTGTGTACGATTTATATATTGCCTTCGTACGACTTATATCTCGTACGTCAACTTATATCTTGTACGTACCATGTATCTCATACGCACGACATATGTCGTACCTACGACTTATGAAATGAAGCTCGTACGTACGACATATAAGTCGTACATACGACTTATGAATTGTAACTCGTACGTACGACATATAAGTCGTACCTACGACTTATGAATTGTAACTCGTACGTACGACATATGTCGTACCTACGACTTATGAAATGAAACTCGTACGTACGACATATAAGTCGTACCTACGACTTATGAATTGTAACTCGTAGGTACGACATATAAGTCGTACCTACGCCTTATGAATTGTAACTCGTACGTACGACATATAAGTCGTACCTACGAGTCATGAATTGAAACTCGTACGTACGACATATGTCGTACCTATGACTTATGAATTGTAACTCGTACGTACGACATATAAGTCGTACCTACGAGTTACATCTCGTACGAACCACTTATATGAATTGTAAGTCGTACATATGAGATATAAGTCGTAAGTACAACATAAGTCGTACGGGTTGCAATTCATAAGTCATACGTTCGTATTTGCGAGTTATAAAGTGTACGTACAAGTTATTACTCGTAAGTAAGTACGTGATATTGTTGTGTGTACGACATAAGTCGTACACACGAGTTACAATTCATAAATCGTACGTAGGTATGAGTTACATCTTGTACATACGGGTTATGAATTGTAGGTCGTAAGTACGTTCAAAGTACGTACCTTTTACAAATTATAAGGCATACGTATAATTATGAGTCGTACATACCAGTTTATAAGGCGTACGTACGAGTACTTATAAGTCGTATACCTACATAAGAGATTGTAAGTACGACATACGAGTCGTATGTACGTTCATACAATTCATAAGTCGTACGTACGAGATTACGTTGTATTTACGAGTTATAAGTAGGCGAAGGTACGAGTTAAGAGTCGATCATACATACGAGATATATATAAGTTGTACGTACGTACAAGATATAAGTCGTATGTACGACATATAATCGAGTTACAATTCATAAGTCGTATGTACGAGACTAAGTTGTATTTACAAATTATAAGGCATCCGTACGAGTTATGAGTCGTACATACGTAGGAGATACTTACATGCTACTTATGAATTTTAAGTCCTACGTATGAGATATGAGATCTAAGTCGTATGTGCGCCATATACAAGGTATGTACGCGTGGCAATTCATAAGTCGTACGTACGAGATTAAGTCGTATTTACAAATTATAAGGCATAAGCACGAGTTATGAGTCGTACATACGAGTTATAAGACGTACGTATTTGTCATACATACATAGAAGATATAAGTCGTACGTACAAAAGTATGAGTTATAATTCATAAGTTGTACGAGATGATGCATATTTACATGTTACATGTATACAAGACGTACATATACGAGCTATTAGTCGTACGTATGAGTTATAAGGCATACGTACGAGTTATGATTCCCAATGCGTTTGTTCGATATAAAAGTCGTACGTATGAGATAAGTCGTACGTACGAATTACAATTCATAAGTTGTACGTATGACTTATATGTCGTGCCTACGAGTATATGTCGTGCGACGAGATATAAGTCGTACACGTTACAATTAATATGTCGTATGTACGACTTATGTCGTATGCATGATTTTCAAGGCATACGTACGATATTTAAATTGCATGGTACGACTTGTTAGTCGTATGTACAAGTTAGTCGTACATACAGTTGTACGTATGACATGACACCGTAAGACATAATTATAAGTCGTACGTACGAGATATAAGTTGTACGTACAGCTTTCAAGTCGTACATATTACAATTCATAAGTCGTACGTATGACTTATATGTCGTGCCTACGAGTATATGTCGTGCGACGAGATATAAGTCGTACACGTTACAATTAATATGTCGTATGTACGACTTATATGTCGTACACATGATTTTCAAGGCATACATACGATATTTAAGTTGCATGGTACGACTTGTTAGTCGTATGTACAAGTTAGTCGTACGTACAGTTGTACGTATGACACCGTAAGACATAATTATAAGTCGTACGTACGGGATATAAGTTGTACGTACAGCTTTCAAGTCGTACATATTACAATTCATAAGTCGTACGTATGACTTATATGTCGTGCCTACGAGTATATGTCGTGCGACGAGATATAAGTCGTACACGTTACAATTAATATGTCGTATGTACGACTTATATGTCATACGCATGATTTTCAAGGCATACATACGATATTTAAGTTGCATGGTACGACTTGTTAGTCGTATGTACAAGTTAGTCGTACGTACAGTTGTACGTATGACACCGTAAGACATAATTATAAGTCGTACGTACGAGATATAAGTTGTACGTACAGCTTTCAAGTCGTACAATGATATGAGTTAGCTGAAGGGAGAGTGAATGGGAACCCCCTCGAAAAGCCAAAAAAAGAGAAACAATTTTATGAAGGAAAAAAAGAAAAGAAAAAGAGGCGCGAAGTTATATTGCTGTTAATTTATGGGGGGGGGGGTGGCAAATATACATGTATTGTCGCTGCCTCCTTCGAAAGAATATGATGAAAAAGTACAGGGTTTAATATGGGGAGCCTGAGCAAATTTGCTTTGCCCCCTCTCGAAAAAAATCCTGCCTACGGCCATGGGAGAGATAATGTTTTTTCTCACTATTTCCCTAATACAGCTTCGTTACATAGCATTGAACTGCGTCGGTTCGGGGCAAGCGCGTTCAGCGCGCTCCCGACAGGAATCATTGTATGGGCGGGTTTTACGAACTGACCGCGTATTGTTTTGTCACTTCGTACAGACCGAGTTTCAACGCTTTGACTATATTTCGGTCACAAGATATTTTCAAGATTGTTTGTATCTTAGAATCTAGCGCGTTTTCAGAGTTGAAATTTCACGTGAAGGTAGATTTTAATAAGTAAGTTAGTAATATGTAAAAATTAGAAAATCGAAAAATTCATGCAATTTGCCTATATTGCCGGTTCGTATAAACGACGACGATATTATCTAGAGTGGCGTAACTAAAGTGGCAAGGGGCCACGCCCCGGCTCCTACTCCCTTTGAGGTCTGGGTGTTTCTCCGTGATGCCTGCACCACATGACATGAACTGGAACTTTGTCAAAACTGATTGGATACACAGGCATTAGAAAATGAGCCCCAAATCCCAAGTACCCACTCCCAATTAAACCCCAGTAAGCATTCAATTGTGTATTAAAGAGCCTTGGCAAAATATATAACATACGCTCTTGGTGGGTAGATCCTACTTTTTTATCATTTAGTTTTGTTGTAGTGCGGATTGTTTTAGTTTTTAAGTTAAATATTGTAACGTACCTGACTAAGAGATTGATATGAAATCGCAGTACCTGGCATTTTGAGTCTTATTTTTCGAAAAAAACGTCGAAATGTATTGATCACTTTGACTTATGTGCGACGCACATCTAGCGTACAAGTAACGAATTCAGCGCATCCATTGCGTATGAGATGCGTATGAGTTGCGTATGCAGTGCACAACATTATTTTCGGGCTGCAAATAGGTCAGTATGCAGTGCGCATGCCGAGCGTTTTCCGGACGCACTCGACTTATGCCGACCGCATGCTTGACGCACTTCTGAGCGTATTCCCGCCGCATTTCCGATTTTCGGAATTAGGATACGCAGAAGTGTGACAGGGCCCTGTCACACTTCTGCATATCCTAATTCCTTATGAGTTGCGCATTGACATTTTTTTCATACGCAGTCGTACGCACAATACGCACCTCATATCGTTTTGTGTAGGTTTTATGTACGCAAATATACGCATGGTACGGCCCAGTACGCAGGATAGTTTGGGGCATGCACAAAACTACGCTGCGTACGCTGTTACGCAGGTCATAAGTTATAAA